GGATACCCAGAAATCGTCCAAACAGGCTCCCACGAGGGCGCCGAGACGGCCCAGGGCCGCCCGCAGACGGCCCAAGACAGCCCTGACACACATGAAAAGGGCCGCAACAGGCTTCCCAAATGGCCCGAAACGCGGACATATCGTTCGAACGCGCCCAAGATGGCCTCCAGATTGTCCAAAAGGCTTCAACACGGCCCAAGGGGTTTCCAAGAGCACTCCCACAAGGGCCCCAAGAAGCCAAAATCATTGGTTTTTTCTTAGGTTCTTGATGGATTTCAGTGGGGGCGCCAAGACGGCCCAGGGACGCTGGGCCACGGGGTCCAGGACGGGGCCTTAGGACCCGGGGTCCCGGGGGCCCTGCCGTGGCGTCAGGGGCTCTTTTTAAAAGTCGCCCGAAGACGGCCCCGGATCTCCAGAAAACGCGTTTCCAGACTGCGAAAACGACCAATGACGGCCTGAGATCGCCCCAGAATTATTTTCTGATTGTCCAAGAGGCCTCCAAAATGCCCTCCAGGGAGGCCCAGGAGGCACAGATAATCATTTATTTTCCTTTGATTTTTTGAGGATTTTCGATTTCTCGCCTTTTCAGTTTCCCGACACTCCACGACTGCCCAAAAGGTCCCAATGTCCGCTCCAAGACAGCCTCAGAGGCCTCGAAGACGGCCACAAGGCAGCCCAAGAGGGCTCCAAGACGGCGCCAGAGGCACCCAAAACGGTCAGAGAGAGCCCCAAGACGGGCTCAAGAGGGAGCTAAGCGGGTCAACGCGAACCGAAAGTCTGGGCCTTCCACCCCGAGAAGTTCTCGGGAGGCCCCGAGAAGCCCCCAACAGGCCCCAAGAGGCCCCAAGAAACGCTCCATGGAGTCGAAGAGTTTCCAAAAGGCCTCCCAAGAGGCACCCAAGAGGCAAAAAACATGGTCTTGCCATAGGTTGATTGTAGTGGCCTCCGGCCAGTGCCGCCGATCCGGGACGCTTCCGTTGCTGCCGGAAGCGCACGATGGCGGTCATGACCGGCGACAACGGCGAGCGGTGAGGATGATGATTGGAATTGGGAATGGACGCAACGGAGTAGGATGATGAGGATGATGTTGACGATGATGATGATGATGATGATGATGATGATGATGATGATGGTGATGGTGATGGTGATGATGATGATGATGATGATGATGATGATGATGATGATGATGATGATGATGATGATGATGACGATGATGATGATGATTATGATGATGATGGTAATGATGATGATGATGATGATGATGATGATGATGATGATGATGATGACGACGGTGATGATGATGAGGAGGAGGCGAAGGAGGAGGAGGTGGAGGAGGAGGAGGTGGATGAGGAGGAGGAGGAGGAAGAGGAGGAGGAGGAGGAGGTGGAGGAGGAGGAGGAGGAGGATCATGATGAGGTGGAGGGGGCGGGGGGGGAGGGGCAGCAGGATGCTGAGGATGAGGAGGGGCAGGAGGAAACGGGATGTGGAAGAGGGGGGGAGAAGGAGGAACGTGATGAGGATGGATTTTCGGCGGTTGTTGGAGATGTTCGGCGGTTGTTGGAAAGATTTTTTTGGGCCAGGCGTTGGCCCTCATTGGGTTGGCACCTCGCCGATTTGGCGCACTCTTTGAAAACAAAGGCTTTCTGCGGCGCAGTTCTTTGTTGAGCTTTGTGCATCGCCGGTCTCTATGCTGGAGCCATGGTATTTTTGGGGTCTCTGGGGCCTCCGCTCGGTCCTCTGCGGGCCTCTGTGACACCGCGGATGTGAAGGGCACCGAAGACGGGAGAAGGTGTGAAAACGTGGAACAACCTTTTGTATTGCAGCGCTTGTGTTCAGACGTAAGCGTTGTGGAAGCATTGGGGCTGGTTCTGGGCTTTTCGGGGGGGGAGTTGGAGGCCGGTTGGAGGCTTCTAGAAGGCGTCTTGGATGCATTTTTTGAAACTCTTGGGGGCCTTTGGGGGCTTCAGGGGGCCTCTTCGGGCCCCTTGGAAACGTCTTGGGCTTGTTCAGGCCTCTAGAGGGCCCCTGGGGGCCTGCTGGGGGCTTCTTGGACGGTCTTCGGCATTTCTTCGGCCGTCTTGGCGCCCTCTCAAGCGCCTCTTGGGCCGGTCCTGGGCCATTTTGGGCCCTTCTTGGGCCGTCTTGGAGTCCTGTTGGCGGTTTCTTGGGCCGTTTTGGGGCTCTCTTGGGGCGTCCGCGACGCTGTGAAGGCCCAAGATGCGAATGTGTTAACATTGTACGTTTTCCATGGGGAATGGGGCACTTTTTGCTTCTCTGGGCCTTCTTTGGGAGGTCTTTTCATTGCATCTTGGAGGCTTCTGGAGCCGTCTTGGGGACATTTTGGGCGTCTTCTAGCGATCGTTCGGCGACTCGTGGCCCTATTGGCCCATGTTGGGGCCCTCATGGGAGAGGGGGCCGTCCCGGACTGAGCTGGGGCTCCGATTGCGCCCCGGGAATAACATCGCCCCCCCTACCCCGGCAGAGCCACCCTGGCGCCCGCCCCCCAGTAGAGCTGAAGCGCAGGAATTGAGGCTCAGGCTGTTCTTCGGGAGCGGAAAAGAGGGGGGTGATGACTAGGGGGGGGTGGATATCATGGCGCGGGCCATGATTTTTCCCCAGATTTTTGGGCGCCTCTTCTTGTTTTATTACGTCCCAGGCCCTCCCGCTGGGCCGCGCACGTGCCGCCCGTCATGATTTGCAGCCCCCCCTCTTGGACCCCCCTCTTGGCCGCTCCCGAGTTCTGAGGGTTTGATTTTCGAGGTTTCAGTCTTTGGGCGTCCCGATGCTCCAAGACGGCCCAAAGGGCCTCCAAGCCCAAGAGGCCTCCAACAGGGCCCCACGACGGCCCCGAGAGGGTGCCTGAGGCGCCCAAAGCGGCCCGAGAAGGCACCAAGAAGACCCCACGAAGGACTCAAGATGGGTCAGACGAATCGAAAATCCGAGCCTTCAATCCCGAAAGGCTCTCAGGAAGCCCCTAGAGGCGCCCAGTAGGATCCAAGAGTCCCTCAACAAACTCCCCAGAGGGCCGAAGAGGTTCCAAGAGGCTTCCCAAGGACCCAAGAGGCAAAAATCATTGTCCCCCCATGGGTTTTTGATGGATTTTAGATTGTTCAGTCTTTTGGCACCTTGACGCTCCAAGACGGCCCAAGAGGCTCTCAAAACCGCTCCAAGATAGCCGAAGAGGCCTCCAAGAGGTCCCCCAATACGGCCCACGAGGGCCCCAGGACGGTGCTTGAGGCGCCCAAGACGGCCCTAGAGGGCGCCAAGACGGCGGGATGCCCTGCAAGCGCCCAGGAGCGCTTTGTGAAGGCCTTGGGTGCCTTGGGGAAGCTCCGGGAACGGCCAGGAGCCCCAAGAAGGGGAACGCGAACCCAACAGAAGAGCCTTCAACCCTAAGAGGCCCACGGAAGGCCCCGAGAGCCCCGGTCCGACGAGGCCCCCAAAAGCTTCCCCAAAATGCCCCCAGGAGAGGCACAAGGGGCCCCAAGAGGGCCGAACAATGCCCTCGATGTATCAAAACTGCCTCTAGGATGATGTCGGGCCGGCCTGTCCCCCATACAGGGGGATTTTCGACTAAAAATAAAAAATACTCAACAATAGTCAAAACATAGTCCAAGAATAGTCTGGGGATTATTTTTTGAATATTTTTTGAACTTCTTGGGCCATTTTTGGTGTATTTTTTATTTTTCGTCGAAAATCCCCCTGTAGGGGGACACGCCCGATATAACTCTAGGACTCCCCCTGGAGGCTTCTGGGTTGCCTCAGTGTGGCCCCGGGTGGCCTCGGGTAGGGCCTCCACGCAGCCAGGGCGGCTAACGACGGCTTCAGATTGCAGAACGTCGCCTTCCGATTGCCCGGAGAACCCCGACGATTCCCCCAAGAAGCCCTGCAAGGGGGCCATGAAACACCCTAATTCTAGACGCTTCGCATATCCCCACCAGCCCATCCAGAAACGATGTCCAGGCGAGTTGAGGTGATCAGGGAAGTGCGGGAGCAAAGAGGGGGACGACAGAACCGTGCGAAGGAGGGAGGAGGAGAAGGAAGAGGCTGGATGGACGGATGAGGGAGTGGGGAGAGGGAAGATGAATAGGAGGAGGAGGAGGAGGAGGAGGAGGAGGAGGAGGAGGAGGAGGAGGAGGAGGAGGAGGAGGAGGAGGAGGCGCTCGAGGGAAAGGAGGAGGAGGAGGAGAAGGAGGAGGGAGGAGGAGGAGGAAGAGGAGGAGGAGGAAGAGGAGGAGGACGAGGAGGAGGAGGAGGAGGAGGAAGAAAAGGAGTAAGAGGAGGAAGAAAGGAGTAGGAGGAGGAAGGAGGAGCGGGAGGAGGAGGGCAAGCAACAGGGCCAGAGGTCTCTTGGATGCCTCTCGGGGCCTCTTGGGGCATCTCTTGGGCGCTTCTTGGTGGCCTCTTGGGACGTCTTGGGGATCTCTTGGCGGTCCTGGGGGGCTCTTGGGCGTCTTGGGTGCCTCGGGGGGGCCTCTTGGGGCCGCTTGGGGTCCTCTTGGGGGCCTCCTGGGGGCTTCTTGGGGGCCTCTTGGGGCCACCTTGGGACCTCTTGGGGCTTCCTGGGCGCTTCTTGGGGCCATCTTGGGGGAAATCGATCAAAGAAGAGGGGAGCTTCAATTAGGGGTGCCCCCCCCAAGAGGCCCAAATGGAGACAACACCGTAGTAAAACCAATGATTTTGGCTTGACCGCCGAGGCCGTTTTGGGCGCTCTAACTGCCCGCGACCGGCCCCGTCCAGGTCCAAGGGAGGGGGTAGGGGAGAGGTAAACCCCTCCCTGAAGGGGAAGAAGGGGGTTGGAAGAGGAGCCGCCCTAGACCACCTACGCCCAGAGGGCTGTTGGGACTCTCCCAGCATGCCGACCATTGCTTCGAGACGGGTCACATGGTCTTCAAGACGGTCCCATAAAGTTTTCAGTTGATCCATGAGAGAGGCCCCAGGGGCGAAACTCGTTGATTCCACGTTGGTTCTTCAAGGATTTGGTGTGGTCGCCTGCTCCGCTGCCCGACGCTCGCAGACGGCACAAGAGGCGCGCAAGAGAGCCCCAAGACATGTCAAGAGAGCGCCAAAACAAACTCCGAGCCATTTTGACTCAAGAAGCAATTTGGCTGGAGGTCCTGCTTCAACAATTGCCTTGATTGCCAGTCGCATTGCTTTTAGTTACATCATGGCAACACTCAGTGCGATCCAGAGAGTCGTGGAGGCATAACTCATCAGCGACGCACCAAGCACGCTGGTAGTTGGCTTGTTGACCCTGGTGAAGTGGAGCTCTCAGGATAAGCTGGTCAACATGTTGGCAGCTGGGGCAGGTTGTGGAGAGTTGAGGTTGGAAAGTATCGCCCAGATAGTGGAACAGCACGAGGTCGTGTTGATCGTATCCGTATACAGGACGAAGAAAAGAGAAGCGTGGTAGCGCTGAACGAGCCATACTTGCCTAAGCCAGCTGATTTTTGGAGTCTTGGGGTGCTCCTGAAAACCGCTTGCGGGCAGGATACGCTCAAGTTATGGGTCCAGTGGCGCCGTGGCCAGTCTCTCGCATACGCCGGGCGGCAAGTACTCCAGTTTTTCTCCCATGCTGGTTGCCACATCGAGGCGATGACGAAGACGGGTAACTCACTCAACGGCGTAACACTGGCGTGCTTGGAGGCGGTCTTGAACCCCGAGCCGGCCCGCAGAGCAAGTGCCTCCGACATGGAATGCTAATCTTGATTAGTTCGTTGTTAGTGGCCTTTGCACTTTGGGCGCGCGTGCAGGAGTGCATGCAGCTCACATTTTGTGCGCAGGCTTCCTGCGTCAAGTTTCATCCCCAGACGCCGTTGTCGGTCCAGCGGCGCCGGGGCGAGTCCCTTGCATACGCCGCGCGGCAAGTACTCACTTTTTTCTCCTATGCTGGTTGCCAGACCGAGGCGATGTTGAATATGGGTAATTTATTAGATGGTGTAATATTGGTATGCTTGGAGGCGGTGTTGAAGCCCGAGCCGGCTCGCAGAGCAAGTGCCTCCGATATGGCATGGAGGCTATCTGCCAGGCGCACCGAGCAGGCTAGTGTTGATTGATTCGTTGATGGTTACTTATGCACTTTGGGCGCGCGTGCATCACATTTTGTGCTGCGCCGATTGTCTGCCAAAGTGGCAGGCTGCACCACATTGAATTATGAGGCGCGGTCAGTATCCACGAGGTCAGCTGGTTACATGGGCTTTGCATTTGCACACGGGCTGGGCGCCCCCCGAATCAGCCCAAACGCGCTCCAAGAAAGCCCAAGACCGCACAAGAGCGTTCCAAGATGGCCCAACATAGCTTCAAGACAGCACCAGAGGGCCTCAAGACGGCCAAGAGAACCTCAAAGGGAGTCCCACGACGCCCTCAGGAGACAAAACATTATTTGGTTTTTGTTTTTTTTAGGGGGGGGTGAGGTTTTCCGTGTTCTGTTTTTTCATGCTTCCGACGGACCAAGGCAGCTCATGAGGCTCCAGAAATCGGCCCAAGACGGCCCGAGCGGCTCCCAAAGATGGCCCCAGATGGCCCAAGAGAGTTCCAAGACGACCCAAGGGCGCTCCAAGACGGCCCGAAGAAGGCCCAGAAGGTCCCACATGGCTTCAAGAGAGATCCAGGAGGGGCCCAAGCCCTCCAGGAGGGACCCAACAAGGCCCCAAGACAGCCAAAGCCCTCAAAGACGCCCCACATGGGTCCCAGCACGGCACGAGGGAGCGAGAAGTGGTCCAAAAACGCCCCAAGTGGACACCTAAGAAGGCCCGGAGACGCTAAACGCACAGATTTTCGTCTGGTTCTTGTGTCGCATCACGTAACGAGTTCCAAACATGTTTTGCGTCGGCGGCTAGTCAGAATCGCTGCGCTGGCGATGGAAACGAGTTTCAAACACCGAGGATCCTAAGTGCGGACGGTGGCGTGAGCTCAAGACGGCCCGAAGAGATTCCCGAGACGCCGAAAAGACTGTTGCTCAAACGGCTATTGATGCTTCTGCCTCCTCATCTCCCTCCCCGTCCTCGTCCTTCACCTCTTCGGAACATAAAAACACGTCGCTTCGAGATGCGTCCGGCCGCGGCGACGACGAGAACCACGGAGACAAATCAATTTCAGACCTCGATCCTCGCCCAGGGGCCCAGCACCTCGCTACCATCTCACCCCCTTGCGACCAGGAGGCATTCTTGAACGCGCTCCGCCAGCTGGCGTGACAGCGCATTCATTCAATATCAGTGCTGCGTTCCAAGCGCTCCGCCAGCTGGCGTGGCAGCGCGCGCACCGTATTTCAAGGCAGTTTTGTCCCGTCCTCCGCCCTTCCTCGCTCCTCCTGCACGTGCTCGGCCAGACAGGCCAAGAAGATCTGGCCACATCCAAAGTCCAGCCAACTACGGCCTGGACATCTAGATAGCCAGTCAATGGAGTCAATGACCCAAGTCTGTTTAGCGATCTCCCCGACGAACTCGCAAGCTAAGACTTACATGTCGTGACAACGATCTGGCAACCATGGACGGCGTCATTGGGGCCATAGACACCTGCCCCCCCCTACGACAGCGCCTAAACAGTTCCAAAGCCAGTCCAAGGAAGCCTTGCGACATCCCATAACCGGCCTAAGACGGTCGCAACCTGTCTCCGACAGCGAGTCGCCCGCAAACCCAGACCTTCGTGTCATCACAGCGCCATGAATTGGGCTAGGATCTAAGCGCGCGCGAAGCGCGCGCGTGGTTCTAGTATAGATACAACGGCGCACCAGGCTTGGGGGCCGAGGGCCGGAACCTCGACCGCAAATGTGGGTGCCGGGGCCTGGGCCCGCCTTTGGGAGGCCTAAAATCGCCCCGGTGAGCCCTCAGACAGCAATCCCGGCGACTCCAGACAGTCTCGAGACACCCCCAAGACGCCGTCCAGGGGTCTCGGGCGACGCACGAGGCATTTTAAATTGCCCCAGAGACCCCCAAGACGCCCCAAGAGCCCGAGAGGGCAATATCGTTGATTTCATTGTTTTTTATGTGTTTTTGCATTCTCGCTGTTCGTGTTTCTGGCGCTGAAGCACCGCCCAAGAGGCTCCCAAAACCCTTCAAGACGGCCCACGAGGCCCACACGAGGGCTCCAAAACGGCCCAAGAGAGCCCCGAGACGGCCCCAGAGCCGCCCAAGACGGCGCAAGAGGGTCCCAAGAAGGCCCCAAGAGGGCCCAAGAGAGGGAACGCGAACTGAAAAATCAAGCTCTCCGCCCCAAGATGCCCCCAAGTGGCCCCAAGAGGCCCCAGGGAAGCCCCCAAGAGGCCCCCAAGAGGCCCCCAAGAGGCCCCCAAGAGGCCCCCAAGAAGCCCAAAAGAGGCCCCAAGAGGCCCCAAGACGGCACCCAAAAGGCTTCAAAACTCTTTCTAAGAGGCCCCCGAAGACATGCCAAGAAGGTTCCATGAAGACTTCAAGAAGCAGTCCAGGATGCTCCGAGGAGGCCCCAAGAGGCCCCCAAGAGAGCCCAAGAGGCCCCCAAGAGGCCCCCAAGCGGCCTCAAGCCGCATCCAGGAGACCGGAAAGAGGCCCCCAAGAGCCCAGAGGTCCAGGCGGGGGCCGAACGAACATTTCCAGCCTTGGGCTCCCGGAATCCCAACAGGAAGCCCCACGTAACTCGCAAGACCCCCCCCCGACGCTCCCGAGACGCCTAAAAGGCTTCCCAGACAGCCCAAGATGCGGAAAAAAATTAGCCTGGCGAAGGACCCAACCATATGCAGTTGTGAATACCGCGATTGTGGATCTCATCTTCGCTCGCGCTCCCTATGGGGCCACGAACCGTGTGAGGGGGCGTGCCGAAATGCGTGGCGGGGTCCCCAATACGAACAAAGACGATCGCTCTGAGTGCGCGAGACTGAGACCGGGTGAGCCTGAGCGCGAGTAAGTCTGATTGTGAATGTGTCTGCGTGCGAGTCAGTCTACGTGCATCAATGTCGACGCCCATGTCGGCACGCCCCTCACGAGGATCGCGCCCGCTTCCTTCCTCTTCTTTTTCTGCCTTTTTGCCCGTGCGCGCCGATGTCCATGGCTGCGGGCGCGGCGCCGCACTGAGTCCCCGCGACGCACGCTGGTCGCCCCGAGGGGGTCCCGGCGACGCGCGCGGGTCGTCCGCTGCGCGGAGCAGAGAGAGTGCTAGCTGGCTGGGTGATAGCGGGCAAGACTGTGGCCGCTGGGCAGAGCGACGACGGGGGCGAGCGAGGCTCTGGGCAGAGCGCAGCGCGGAATTCCCGCGACGCGCGCTGGTCGCCCCGATGGGTGTGCCAAAATGGGGTGTGCCAAAATGGGGCGGCGCCGCCATGGGAGTTCCGCCACTGTGACCTTAGGTGGAGCTCCCTATGGGGCCACGAAACGTGTGAGGGGTGTGCCAAAATGGGGCGGCGGCGCCATGCGAGTTCCGCCACGGGGACCTTCGGTGGAGCTCCCTATGGGGCCACGACGCGTGTGAGGGGTGTGCCAAACTGGAGCGGCGGCGCCATGCGAGTTCCGTCACTGGGACCTTAGGTGGAGCTCCCTATGGGGTCACGAAGCGTGTGAGGGGTGTGCCAAAATGGGGCGGCGGCGCCATGCGAGTTCCGCCACTGGGACCCTAGGTGGAGCTCCCCATGGGGCCACGAAACGTGTGAGGGGTGTGCCAAAATGGGGCGGCGGCGCCATGCGAGTTCCGCCACTGGGACCTTCGGTGGAGCTCCCTATGGGGCCACGAAGCGTGTTGCCACCGGGACCTGGGGTGGAGCTCCCTATGGGGCCACGAAACGTGTGAGGGGTGTGCCAAAATGGGGCGGCGGCGCCATGCGAGTTCCGCCACGGGGACCTTAGGTGGAGCTCCCTATGGGGCCACGAAACGTGTGAGGGGTGTGCCAAAATGGGGCGGCGGCGCCATGCGAGTTCCGCCACTGGGACCTTAGGTGGAGCTCCCTATGGGGCCACGAAACGTGTGAGGGGTGTGCCAAAATGGGGCGGCGGCGCCATGCGAGTTCCGCCACTGGGACCTTTGGTGGAGCTCCCTATGGGGCCACGAAACGTGTGAGGGGTGTGCCGAAACAGAGACATGCGGAGAGCAAAAACCAGGATGGGGGAGGAGGGGGGAGGAGGAGGAGAGGAGAGGAGGACGCGGGGCACCGTCTCTTCAAAACGAGGACCCAACACCACAGGATGGTTGGGAAAAAACTGCGATGCCCAGGGGTGCGTTTGGACAAGAATTTCGAGACGAAACCAGCCTTGGCCACGAAGAGCGCTTCGGAGGCGGAAAGGAGGGTCATCCAGTTGCGGAAAGGGGGGTCATCGGGGGGCGGAAAGGGGGGTCATCCGTGAGCGGAAAGGGGGGTCACTGAGCGACAGATGAGCGATGTCAAAAATGAGGATTGATTGCGTGGACATTCATGCCCAGGCTGCCCGCATAGGCCACCGCGCAAGGTCGCCGAATCCTCGTGCGTACGACCTCGTTTTTCGTTGTCGCTCAGTTGTCCGGGCATCTCACCCAGACCTCTGCAGCTTGATTTGTTGGACCCGCTCGACCCTTCCCCAGGACCGGATCTTTTATCCCCAGCCGTCTTTTGACAGTCTTGGGGCCGAGGAAAGGCTGGCATGCAGGCGCCGAAAATAACGAAATTATCATAATTATGCGACTTTTCGGCCTTCGCGGCTTTGAAGACGCCTCAAGAGGCTCCCACGACTTGCCCAAGAGAGCCTAAGACACTCCCCAGAGGCCCTCAAGACAGCCCAAGAGGGGGCCAAGACGGCCCAAGGGCTGCCCAAGACGGCCCAAGTTTGCCCCCAAACGGGGCCCGATAAGGCCCAAGAAGGCCCCGAGTCGCCCAAGACTGCCCAAGATGGCCCCGAGATGGTCCAAGAAGGCTCCGAGAGGCCTCCAAGAGCACTCCCAAGAGGATCCCGTAGGCGAAACGCACATCTTAAGCATGTACGATTTTGGGGCCTTCACGGCTTTGAACACGGTCCAAAGGGCCCTCAAGACTTCCCCGAGCGAACCGAAACCGATCCCAAGAGGCCCCCCAAGATAGCCCAAGAGGGCGCCAAGACGGCCCAAGGGTCGACTAAGACGACTCCAGGAGGGGTCCAAGAGGGGAGCTCCGACTCGAAAGTTGCAGCCGCCCACAGAACCTCCCAGGAGACCCCAAAAGTCCCCAAGAGGCCCCAAGAGGCCCCCAAGAGACCCCCAGAGGCCCCAAGTAGGCTCAAAACGGATAGGACGGCCTCCAAGAGGTCTCCCAAAGGGATCCGGAGGTCTTCCTTCGGATCGAGGCCCGAGCGAGACCGGGTTTGCAGCAGGACTTTTGTAGGTTTTTCGTGTTCACGCTGTTTCGTGTTTCCGACGGTCCAAGACAGCCCACCAGGCCCCAGAAATTAGTTCAAGACGGCCCAAGGGGCACCCAAAGAGGGCGCCACGACGGCGCAAGGGAGCCCCGAGACGGCCCAAGAGTGCCCCAAGGGCCCCAAGACGGCCCCAAGAGGGGCCCAAGAGGGGGAACACGAACCGACAATTCCAGCCTTCCGCCCCAAGAGGCCCCCAGGAGGTCCCAAGAGGCCCCCAACAGAGCCCAAGAGGCCCCCTAGAGGCCCCACGACGCCCCAAAGAGGCCCAAGAAGACGCCCCAAGAGCACCCCAAACGGCCGCCTAGAGGCTTCCAAACCTGCCTTCAAGAGGTCCCCAGGGACCCTCCCACGAATTCCTGACGAACTTCCAAGAGGCCTCTAAATCACAACCCAGGCACGGTGGCGGGATGGGCCGAGGGCCACTTCATGGTCCAAGACGGCCTCCAGACAGCCCAAGAGGCCCTAAGATACCCAAGAGGCTTTCAAGAGGTCTCCCAACAGACCTCGAAGTGGCCAAACAACATTTATTTCCCATACCTTTTTGAACAAGTTTGGCGTTTCCGCCTGTTCCGCTTCCCGATGTTTCAAAACGCCCCAAGAGGCTCCGAGGATTGCCCCAAGACGGCCCAATAGGCTTCAAAAGCGCGCCAAGACGGCCTTATGGGCTTCAAAAGCGCCGAAGAGACGTCCAAGACAGCCCGGGGGGGCCCCAACCGCGTCCCAGGATCGGGAAAGAACCCGAGGAACCCCCCCAGGAGGCTTCAAGAGGTCCCCAAGAAGCCCCAAAAATGCCCAAACTGAGAAAGGCACCGAGGGCACTTGAGAAAAACGGGGAATCCAACATTTCTTCCCAACCATCCTGTGGTGTTGGGTCCTCGTTTTGAAGAGACAGCGCCCCGCGTCCTCCCTCATCCTCCTCCTCCCCCCCTCCCTCCTCCTCTCACCCGTCATCATCACCATCATCGTCATCATCATCGCCGTTATCAGCACCATCACCCCTCACACGTTTCGTGGCCCCATAGGGAGCTCCACCGAAGGCCCCAGTGCTGCCGGCCGCATGCGTCCCGCACACCCACTT